GGGCTCTCCCGGCTCGCGGCTGGACGGCCCCCGAGCAAGCGCTACACGCGGGGCCTACTGGGACTTGTAGTCCGTGAGTCCTGGCGCGCGCGTGGCCGGCTGTGGATATTGTGTATTTGTTGTTGTTGTTATGTGCTGTGGAGTCGGTTACGACTCATTGCGACCCTGTACAGGTTTCCAAGGCTGTAAATCTTTACGGGAGCAGAAAACTTCATATTTCTCCTGCAGAACTGCTGGTAGTTTCGAACTGCTGACCTTGCGGTTCACAGCCTGATTGGTAACCACCTACGCTACCAGAGCACCTGTATTTGTGTGTCCTCAAGCCCTAACCTCCGGGAACGTCTATACATCCTTCAAGACCCAAGCCGAAAGGCTCTGTGTGGTAGCCCAGGGGATTCTTAATAGTAACTACAGCCAAAGAGAGGGACAAGATCCAGCAGAGGGAGGAGGCCCTTCTGAAGGAGGTGGTATGTGGGATGGAGGGCCCTCAGATTGGAATGGGGCTCTCAGAGATGGGAGAAGGGCTGGGAAACATGTATAAACAAAGCTCCACTCCACCCTATTCCAAAAGGGACCCTTGGCCTCGTTTTTCTTCTGAACAATGGCCTGGAGCCTGGGTCTTTCCATCCTGACTGTGGATAGGCAGCTCTGGAACCTGGGATGGGCCAAGTCGAAGATCCCAGAAGCTTAGGTGGGGCAGATAGGCCAGGCCACAACCCCACTAGCAGTGTCCGTGGAGGCAGGGCAGCCATCTAACCCCTAGACAGCTGCCAAGAGACAGGGCCTGGCTGCCCACTCCCAAACACAAGGGTTCAGCCCTTCCTCAGGCTCCATAGATGGTCCAGCAGAAGAGGAGAGGAAGAATGATGGAACAGCAAAGCTTGAGTGCCTACTGTGTTCCAGACACTATTCAAAGCCCTTTCAACCAGGAACGGATTTCATGCTTTCAACAGTCCTATGAAGGAGTCTCTAATATTTCATGTCCCGGCTTTACTTTGCCCAAATGGGCAAAGGCAAGAGTTTTAAAGCTGTGAGCAAAGCTTAGAGTGAGGAGGGTCAGGCCTCGTTAGCACTGTCCACTCACTGAGTGATACTGCCTGAGTCCCAGTTCCTCTTTTTCAAAATGAGGCAAAATGCCAACCTGCCTAACTAGCGCAGAACCTCACATGGTAAGTGCTAGGGCATTGACAGTTCAAACCCAGACTTCACCACTTAGAAGCTATGAGACCTAAGGCAAGTCACTTCAGCCCTGTGTGCCTCAGTTTCCTGATCTATAAAATGGAAGCCATACTAGTACCTACTTCAATACATTCTTTTCTTTTTTTAAGTTTTTATTGTCAACTGAGTAAAAGTTTACATGGGAGAACATTGGCTTTACACCATCATTTTATTGCAATGATTACAATCTCCTCCATGAATCATCATTCAACAGTATTTGCCTCTTTTTTTGGGGGGTGGGGGTGGGGTTGGAGGGGATGTACACAAAAACATTCAGGAGTATATAATAGTTTAAACAACCAAAGGGCACATTTTGCAAGCCTGCCTCCTAGCTGCCAGCACTCAGTCTTTCTCTTTCCATGAGTCCTCAGCTGCTCCCTCTCTACATGTCATCTCTGCCTCCATCTCTGGCGTCACTGCTTTTCCTCTGGATAGGGTCCTGCATTCCGCTCGAGCTTTTCTCCCTTGATGGTCCTAGGGTCCTCCATTCCTGGATTATAAAATTAACTACTTCCCCTTTTTATTACAAAACATCTACCTTTACAGATATGACAGTTGCAATTAGTAATGATAACAATTACTCACTATTGAATCATAAGAATCTTATTCCCTCCTGAAGGACATTACACCTGATCTACAGAATGGCATTGCAAATGACACTGAATTGGGTCCTGCTTGAGCTTCCGATGTTCCTGAAAGCTTGGGTCTTTGTTACACCTGGAGACCCTCCCCTCCTGAAATTCCAGGTTTCAGGAAAATCTCCATACCCCTGCCCAAATCTCCATACCCTCCCCATTATAAACTCACCAGAACTATACCCAGACCACACCACCTTAAATACCCCAGTCTGTAAGAGCACAGACAGGCTCTTGGTCTCCTTTGGTGACATAAGAGTACCCCCTCCCAGGTTTACTCTCAATAAATCTGCCTGCTGTTGAAGCCAAGACTCTCTGCCCTTCGACTCTTTCTTTCTTTTCCTTACATTTTGGCGCCCAACATGGGGCCAGGAAGAGTAAGCTGAAGCTCCCCGGCGGATTCTTGGTTGCCCTTCGCCCCGTTCCCCCACACCCTCTTCCCTTCCTCCCCTCACAATCTAAGGCACAGTAGTTGGCAGAAGCTAGATGGGCGAATCCTTAGACGTGAGATTAACTTTTCATTCTGAGACATCTCAGAGTTGTGAGCAAACCAAGTCCAATTGAGGAGTCTTGGCCGGGGTTACTCTGGTAGCCTCTGAAGGGACTTGCAGTGTTCACAACTTTCGTTGCCTGCCTGGGCAGCTGTCTCCCTTTTCTCCTTCCTAACTTCTTGGCTCCAGCAAAACACAGGACCAGTTCCAGACCGGCTCCAACCATCCACCACCGGCTGATTCCTCCCTAGTCGTTCCCACAGGAAAGGTAAGTTGGCCTCCGGAGGTTTTCTCTAAGGTACCTAGAGAACACCTCCTCCGGACCCCAGACATAAGGCCTCGGCAGGCCTTTCTTATAAGTCTCAGGGACCTGCCATTTGAACAATACAGGGGAAGCTCTGGTTGTTCTTCTGGCTCTCCCTCCTTTCTCCGGCCTTGATATTTCTCTCCTCGGGACACCCTGTAGAGAAACATCGTGTGCCCCAGCCACCCTCTTCTTACCTCTCCCTTTAATCATGGGAACCCATATCTCAAAAACAGAAAAAGA